ACACAGAGCCAACAAGTTTGTGGTATTTCTTAATAGATCAAGAGATAACTGAAAAAAGCAAATGAAGAGAAAGGAGGGGTGCCTGAGTGGCACAGCCAGTTAAGGGTCTGACTCTTGGTTTCCCAGCTCAGGTCACGATCTCAGGGTCATGAGATCGAGCCCTGTGTTGGGCTCTGCACTCAGCAGAGTCTACTTGAGATTTTTTTTTTTGCCCTCTCCCTCTGCCCCTCCTCTCCTCCCCACTCTAAAATAAGTAAATATTAAAAGAAGAGAGAAAGGAAAATTTCTCATAATTGTCAAAGAACCAATTTAGTGGAGTGGACAGCTCTTTGTGCAGATGAGGACTGCCTGGTCGCAGTTGACGGAGTGGTTGGAGGCTGTCAGAGGTAACCTAGGGATCTAAAATGGATTTTGTTGAAGTGGTTCCTGATTTATTTTTATTATCATTACTGGACTTACATTTAGTTCAGTGGACAGTTCTGTTTAATTAGAAAAGCTCCTTTCATGATTTGAATTTTGCTTGTCACTCACAGTTTAAAGTTTAGCTATTTCTAGTTCCTAATTGGCATCACAAATGAACCATAACACAGAACTTGGGATTCTCTGACCCTGACATAGCCTTTTGATTTGAAATATACATTCTCTGGTGCCAGAGGTGTTCACCACATCTCCTGAATCTGGCTTTTTCTCCTACAAGAGGAAAGGCAGTACAGGGGAGATGGTTCTAATGATGAGGATGTGGTTGATGGAGAATCCATGTTCTAAGAATATGTTCAGATCATTGTCCATAGACAAGAAAACAACCCCAAATCAGCTAGTTCAACCTGCCTCCAACACAGGAGTCCTATACAATATCCTGATATGTGGTCATCCATGTAACCTTTTTTTATTGTGATAAAATATACATAACATAAAATTTACCATTAATATGTAAAATAACCATTTTAAATGTGTAATTCAGTGACAGTAAGTACATTCACGATGGTGTTCAACCATCACCGCTATCCATTTCCAGAATTTTTTCCTCTTCCTAACAGAAACTCTGTACTCACTAAATAACTTCTCATTCCCTGCTCCCCCAAGTCCCTGGTAACCACTATTCAGTTCTCTGTTTCTGTGAATTTGCATATTGTAGGCTCTTCATATAAGTGGAATCATACAATATTTGTCTTTTTGTCTGGATTATTTCATATTTCACTAAGCATAATGTTTTCAAGTTTTATCCATGTTGTAGCTTGTATCAGAACTTCATTTCTTTTTATGGCTGAATAATATTCCATAATATGTATTACCACATTTTGTTTATCCATTTATCTATTGATGGACACTTGGGTTATTTCTACCTTTTGGCTATTGTGAATAATATGCTATAAACAGGGTGCCTGGGTGGCTCAGTTGGTTAGGCGACTGCCTTCGGCTCAGGTCATGATCCCGGAGTCCCGGGACCGAGTCCCACATCGGGTTCCCTGCTCAGCGGGGAGTCTGCTTCTCCCTCTAACCCTACCCCCTCTTGTGCTCTCTCTCTCACTCTCTCTCTCTCTCTCAAATAAATAAATAAAATCTTTTAAAAAAATAATAATATGCTATAAACATAGATATACAAGTATTTATCTATGCCCCTGCTTTCAATTCTTTGGGGGTTATACCTAGAACTAGAATTCTGGATCATCTGGTCGTTCTATGGTTAGTCTTTTGAGACACTTTTGAGAAAGTTTCTTCTGAGAAATGGTTTTCCACAGGGGCCACACAATTTTACATTTCCAGCAGAATGCACAAGGGTTCCACTTTCTCCACATGGTTATCAACACTGGTCATTTTTTAGTTTTGTTTTATTTTTATAATAGCCATCTTAACGGGTGCAAAGTGGTATAATAGGTATTCTTAAACATTTCTGTCCCAAGCTGGGGAGTTCAAAACAACACCAGGAAGCTATTGCGGTGCGGACCATATTTAGTTGTTAGAAAGTTCTTACTATTTGTTACTAAATCTTACCTTTCTCTAGCAGTGACTCTCAACCTTGGTTGCACATCAGAATAACTTGAGAGCTTTTAAAAATTCCAATATTTAGGCTGCAAAACCCAGACCAATTAAATCAATGTCTTAGAGATTGGAGCCCATATGTCAGCATTTGTGAAAGCTCCTTAGGTGATTTAAAAAAAAAAAAGTTTTATTTAAATTCAATTTAGTTAGCATATAGTGTATTATTAGTTTCAGAGGTAGAATTTAGGATCACTACATCAAAAACTAATGATGTATTATATGGTGACTAACATAATATAATAAAATTAAAAACTACAAAAAAAAAAGAATTTAGTGATTCAGTGCTCATTACATCAAGTGCCCTCCTTAATGCCCATCACCCAGTTACCCCATCACCCCACCTGCCTCCCCTCCAGCAACCCTCAGTTTGCTCCCTAGAGTTAAGAGTCTCTTCTGGTTTGCCCCCCTCTCTATTTTTATCTTATTTTCTTTCTCCTTTCCTTCCCCTATGTTTTGTTTCTTAAATTCCACATGTGAGTGAAATCATATGGTATTTGTCTTACTATGTAACCAAAGTTGAGAACCACGGCTTCCAACCTGACCACTGGTCCCACTTAGTTCCACAGCCTAGAGGGCATCAGCTGTGATGACCCTATCACAGTGCCTTCTCTGACAACTCCTATTAAATAGCCAGCCTTTCATCCCCCTTTGGCATCCTGTCCTCCTCTCCCTCCTAGATTTTTTACCATAGTGTGTATTGCCGGCTGATACTTTACATAGTTTTTCTCCCTTATCTATTCATTGACTATTCTCTGTTTCACTTATCTCTGCTTCTATAAGACATACAACAATGCCTAATGCAGAGTAGGTGCTCAGAAAATAGTGTTGAATGAATGAATGCATAAATCTACTCTTATTTTCAAATGACAGTGCTTCAGTTAGTTAAAAATAGCTTTTGTGTCTTATCTGTGGGTCTTCTCTTCTCTAGGCAGAATCTTCTTTGTTCCTTCAGCCAGTCTTCAAAGACATTGAAGAATAAACCTCACCGTTACGAATACATTGTCTTCCTTTCACTAAATTAGAAAATAATTGAGTACTTCCCATGTACTACACAGACCTGTACACACATATTGCAGATGAGACACTGTGCTAGGATCTGGGAATTGCAGTGAAAAAGAGAACCAAAGTCATTCTATGGGAGTGGGACACAGACAGTAATCAACAACAGAAGTCATTTCAGAGAACAAGTGCTATAAAGAAAATGCACAATGTTTGTTGGCTGTGGCACATTAAATGGGGTTTAACTGTAATCTGAGACCTGAATGGCAAGAAGAAGCCAGCCGCTAAAGAAGCATCCCAGGAGGAAGGCACAGCAAGTACAGAGGCTTTGGGGGGAGGCACATGTTTCAGCAGTGCTCTCAGTCAGAGCCTCTGAGAAGGACAAGGAGAAAAACCACTGTCACCTCCTTTGTTAGACATTTTACCTGCATCCACATGGCCTAAGATCAAATTAGTTCGCGGTAACTATATCACCCTATTGAAGCCTTTTCCTCCTGAGTTAAATCTTGCCCTGTCCAATATTTGTAACATGTTGGTAGCTGGAATTTAGGTGTGGAAGAGTGATTTGGATGAACATAAGTTGAATTTCTTTTCATGAACCCTTAGCCATAACAACTTCAATCATTCAATCAAAACACTTGTCAGCAGAGTGGAGGAACTTGTTGGTTTTCCAACCACTGCAATACTGGTTCCTTGTTCCAGTTGGCATCTTGTCTTCCATGCCTAAGGGAAAAAATTCTGGAGGAGGCTAGAGCTAGAACGTGGTGGGCTGCTACTGTTTGGGGCCAGCAGCCATCTTGGTTTTCCGTTGAAGTAGCTCAGTAAAGACAGCTCTTTCTTGCTTCTTGGGACCCTGTGTTTCCAGTGGTGGGCTCACAGGACAAGGAGCTGTTCCCAGATCAGAAGCTAATATACTTTGCCAATTCAGTTCTCCCCTCTGGGCCTCAGTTTCTCCATATTGTAATGTAGGGTTTGGGTCTGAGAGTTTTGAGATCCTTTGAAACTTCATTAAGAAAGAGAATTTTATTACTACTTTATTAAAAATAAAACTTTTTCTTATAGCTTCTTAATAACCTTCAGATTTTATGCTTTCATTGATGTGGACACTTGTTTCCAAATTAATAAAAACAAAATGCTGAGTTTGCACTAGGAGGGCAGGGTTTATAGGACCAAATCAGATGCTGAAATTGACAAGAACACAGATTTGAGCTGTGATGTTGGGCACCAAAAGAAATAGGGTCCAGGGCAGTGACAGGAGCCCCCAGAGCATATTGACTGGCTGCTGTCTTTGCGATGGACTTCACAGAATCCGAGATCTGTTTATTCAGGTCAACTTTATTAGAACAATCTTCAAGCCATGACCTATCCCTTGGACAGCCCATCTGTACACCGCAGCTTCCACATGGGCAGGGATAGGGTTCTGGCGAGAGGGTGGTCCTTGTATTCACGCAGACCCTGGTTCAAGCTACTGCCATTCATTCATCCAATGCCGTCTTTCCTTCATCTGACAAGTGTGAGTGATGCATTGAAATTGAATTGATCAGTGGATAAAACAGACAAGGTCTCTGCTCATGGAGCTTACATTCTAGCTGGGGAAGTGCACAAAACAGGAATCAACCAAATACATTTCTGAGCACAAGCTGAGGTAAGAGCTCTGAAGGAAAGTCACAGGCTCTCTGATGGAGAATAACCGTGCAGTTTCAGGGTAGTTAATTCCCCTCTCTGAGCCTCCTCCTCCTTTTGTAGGAGTTAACTAGGATAACATGTAAAGTGACAGGTACAGACATTGGAATACACCGGGTGCACAATAAATGTGTATTACAGCTGCTGATGCTAAAGTTACCTCCCTGAAGATAAATGAGGGGAAAAATTGATTTTCTTTCCCATGTCTCAGAGTTTCCTTTAATTCTTTGTATGTGTATGTGTATGTGCGTGTTCCTGTGTGCATGTGTGTCTTCCAGTTCCAAGGAGGGTTTTGGGTCAGTGGAGAAGGTCGTGCTGCTCACATTTCTCTCAGCGGTTATCCTGATGGCCATCTTGGGGAACCTGCTGGTGATGGTGGCTGTGTGCAGGGACAGGCAGCTCAGGTGAGTAGCAGGAGGAAACCTCAGGAGGAAACCGGGGTAGAGTTCTAGGATCTCCCTGGACAGCAGGGGTCTGAACTATGAATTCCTTTATAATTGTAATTATGAAAGGGAAATGATGTTGTGAAATAGAGCAGGGAAAAATCACACATAATTTCCCATGACTAACATAACCAATGTAAGCACTTACATGCAATCTCTGTCCCATCTTTTTTCTTGTGTTCAACTTCGGGTTTTGGGGGTGGGGGAGGGTTGGTAATAGGTGTGATCACTATATATATACATACAATTGTTGAGGACATATCTAATCTAACCCCCCCACTTCATCAGTGGTTCAGAAAAAGGGTGGCTGCCCAGTGACTGATCTAGTATTTAAATGTGTGTTTTCTGCTCTTTCCACTTCATGAGTCTCAACCCAGCCGCAATTAAAATCATCTGAAGACCTTTTGAAAACTGCTGATGTGTAGTGTAAATATGTCCCATATAGTATTTGGAGCATACTACTAAATAGTTATTCGTTGTTTTTTTGAAATTGAGATTTAACTAGGAGTCCTCTATTTTATCTCAAACCCTGGGGGCGGGGTGCCTGGATGGGTTAGTCACCCAAAGTCTCTGAACTAGTTGATCTGGGAAGAGACATGGGCATTAATATTTATAAAAATTCACCAGGCGATTCTAGGGTTCAGCCTGGATCGAGAGCCACCAGGCCATAAGGGGGCATAAAAGATGCAGTCCTGCGTGCTCTGTGGCCTTCCTCTCTAAGCAAGGCATGCACGAATCCAGGGATGATGCAAAGAAAGTGTAAAAGCACAATTCTGACCGGTGTCACAAATGTGAGGCACACAGTAATCAATCTCAGAGAGGAAAACAGTAGAATTTGACACCATTTGTGAGGAGGGCCCTTTGGGAGGGTCCCCTGAGAGTAACCAAACCATGGCCTCAAGGGAAGGATGGATGTGGAGAGAGAACAGCCTGTGTAGAGGCCCTAGGGAGGGGTTCCATGCATGGGGGCTCAAATCAGGCCCGTGTGGCCTCAGGGAAGAAGATGGGAGGGATTTGGGTGCAAGGGGGTCTGGAGAAGTCAGGGGCGGCTGGACCGTGCACGCTGTGTGGCGGAAGGGAAAGGGGGTCTTACAGAATGCACTGGACAGTTGACTTTCCTTTCCTTTGTCTCTCTCCCTTCTTTCTTTGTTTCCCTCTCCTCCTTTTTTCTCTCCTCCTTTTTTCTCTCCTGCTCCTTTCTCTCCCCTTTTCCTTTGTTCCTCCCCCTGCCTCCTCCCTTATTTTTTTTCACTCACAGGAAGATAAAAACCAATTACTTCATTGTATCTCTCGCCTTTGTGGATCTTCTGGTTTCGGTGCTGGTGATGCCCTTTGGTGCCATCGAGCTGGTTCAAGACATCTGGGTTTATGGGGAGATGTTTTGCCTCGTCCGGACATCTCTAGACGTCCTGCTCACGACGGCATCGATTTTTCACCTGTGCTGCATTTCTCTGGATAGGTAAGGGCAGGGCAATGTGCACAGCGGAGCTCCATGCTGGGCACAAGGACCTGAGGGCTATTGGACCACACCTTTTTTTCTTCCCTAGTTCATTAGAAGCGATGAATCTCAGAGTGATAGATCTGGCTACTCACTGGTTTCCCCACTCTCTAGTCTCTGCAGAGGGCTCCTTTTTAGTCAGGCCCTCTCTGAGGTCCTGCAGACGCCGAGGTTTGTAAGGCTTAGAACCTGCCTGTGGGGAGCTCACAATCTAGACAGTGACAGGTAGTGGCAATCAGATTCACTGTAGAGCTCTACATTTTTATTCGGATGGCATGAACAAAACTCTGAGGGAGTAAGAATTAACACACCTGCCCCGTAGGCAGCAGGGCTGGTTCAGAATGATAGTCTGATGTTTGAACATGACCTCCTCCCCAAAAATGTGTCTGTATCATGATTTTATGTGCATGCAACCTGGAGAATCTTTTCCAGAAAGTTAATTGTAAAATCCCCAATAATTGCTTGTTTGGGGGATGTGGAGCTAACATTTAATTCTTTTGCAGAATTTTGTTCTTTTTCTTCACATTTGACTTCAACAGGCCTAATGATTTCTATCTTTGCCTTCTTTGTTTGCGATGTATATTTATTAGTTGTATTAGGACTTTTTATTTTCCAATTCCTGTGTGTTTATATTCAGTAATAAAAGCAAAATGCAGTTTATTTATTTATTTTTTTTTAAGATTTTATTTATTTATTTGAGAGAGAGAGAATGAGAAACAGAGAGCATGAGGAGGAAGGTCAGAGGGAGAAGCAGACTCCCTGCTGAGCAGGGAGCCCGATGCGGGACTCAATCCTGGGACTCCAGGATCATGACCTGAGCCGAAGGCAGTTGCTTAACCAACTGAGCCACCCAGGCGCCCCAGAAAATGCAGTTTAAAGGTCAGATAATTACAGGATCATAGACCGACATCATGGTATTCGTATCTTAGGGGTAGTTCGCAAAAGAAAGTGTGGTGTGGAAGTCACATGTTATCAGAATGAGCAGGGACAAGTTTTGTTTTTTTTTTTTTTTTTTTATCTCTGGAAGAGTCCAACAGACCCAGTTTCTCCTCCAGTCTAGGGATAGTCACTGTTTCTTTAATTGTGGGACAGGAAAAGCAGTTGACTAAAATTAGAGATTGTGACGTATCTAAAATATGTGTCTTTAAACACGAAAATCAGAGTCTGTCCAGAGAATTACTCACAATGGGGAAGGTCTTGAGGGCCTGGAACCAGCTGCAGGAACAGTGGATTCATCTCCTATCTCATGGGACAGGTGCTTATTGATGGGAATGGCAAGCATAATGGCCAGCTCTGCTTAAATTGTGTGAACTCTTTCTCTCTCTTGCTCTACCAAGAACACATAGTTGAATGTGCTGAAGTTAAATGCACATATAATGAGACTCTCTAGCTATAGATAGTGACACTGGTAAAACTGAGCTGTCGGTTGGCAGCCAGACCCATAGCATGTCATAGTGTGAAATTTGTGTTTATTAGCTTATTTACAACAATCTGACTTCAGTACATGAAAGACTTACAGGCAGTCACTATATACTGTATGGAAGTTCGCATGAGAAGAAATGAAATGTCAGGGAGTAAAAAATGCATGGAAATCTTGCGGGGTAGCCTGCCTATGATCACTGCCAAAATGAGTGCCAAGACAAAGTATTATAGGAACTTGGAGAAGGCAAAACTGAGGGGATCATGGCAACTGGAGTTAACCTTCAGTTTGGGGGAAAAGCAAAGGGAAGAAAAAGAGCTGAGTAGCGAGTGAAGAACGGGGGAGACATGTAGAATCATCTTCCTGATTTGGAAAACTTACTCTGAGCAGTCCTGAGGAAAGGACTGCAGGTTACCTAGGGAGATTTGGCTTCAGAGTTCCAGATTAACAATCAGGTTCTTTTGAAATCATGAAATTGTCCCCAGGTAGGCAGGAGCTGTCATGAAGCAGTATGGACTGGTCATTAAGAACCATCTGCCTTAGAACGGAAGAGATTTGGGTTCAAATCCCAGCTCTGCCAATGTTCAGCTCTGAGAATGGTGGTAAGTTATTAAGCTTTTCTGAGTCTCAGTTTTCTCATCTCTAAAAATGGGGGCAATAGCATCTATTTTATAGGATTGCAGTTAGGATTAAGTCAGATAGTTCATCGAAGGCATGGCATTGGCCCCACTAGGCACCATACAAAATGCTAGTGGATGTTCATTTCAGTTCCTGCAACTATCCATGCACTTCATGATACTTCTGAACTTGGACCTCCTCAGTGAATAGCTGCTCCAGCAGATGCATCATCCAGAAATCAGGTAGTTATTCTTAATGTGGCCTTTCCTTATCCCCTGCATTTAAACAATAAGTCCTACTGATTTTCCTTCCTAAACAGATCCAACTCTGTTTCTCTCCATCTTTATTATCCTGGTCCAAACTAATGTCATCTCTTGCATAAGCCACTTCAGCAACCTCCTAATTGTTCTCCGCACATCTACTTTATCCTCCTCCAATCTGCTTGCCTGTTACAAGATCTCATTGCCAGAGCCAACGATGCAACTTTGATCTTGTTGCTCCTTTGCCTGAAACCCTTCAATGGCTGTCATCGTACTGAAGATCAAGACCAGACTCCTTGACCTGTAGGGTTTTGTGCCATCTGTCTCCTGTCTGTGTCTCCAGCCTCACTTGATGCCCTTCACCAGCCTCACTCCCTGGGCTGCAAGCTGTCTTGGCCTTCTTTCTCTCTCCAGTGCTGTGCTCAGCCATCCCAGGACCTTCGCTCCACCGTCTGCCTGGAAAGCTCCTTTGCCCCCTCCTCTCCTGCCGGTCTTTCAGATTTTAGCTCAATCCTTTCCTCCTTCCAGAAGCTGGCTCTGACCTCATCAAACCAATTCTCCTTTGTAAAATTTAGTGCAATTGTGATTTAAATCAATTCTTTGACTTTTTTTTTTTGCATTTATACTCTTTTTATTGAAGTATAATTAACATACTGTGTTATATTACTTTCAGGTGTACACACAGTGCTTCCAACAATTCTATATATTACCTAATGCTCACCGCGATAAGTATAGTGACCATCTGTCACCCTACAGCGTTATTACAATTTTATTGACTATATTCCCTATGCCGTACTTTTCATCTCTGTGATTTATTCATTTTGTAACTGGAAGTTTGTACCTCTTATTCTTCTTTATCTATTTCACTCATTCCCCCCCCCCCGCAACACACACTTATTCTCTGGCAACTCCCTGTTTGTTCTCTGTATTTAAGAGTCTGGGGGTTTTTTGCCTCCTTTTTTGTTGGTTTGTTTGTTCTTTTGTTTTGTTTCTTATATTCCACTCATATGTGGACTATCTCCCCTGATGGGAGAAAGTGCAAGGATATGAATAAGGACAGGGTCCCACCCTCATGGAACTTACCTTTTTAATGGGGAAATTAACAATTAGCCAGTAATTACATAAATATTGATTTAGGTATTTGGGAAACACTGTTCAACAAATGGGGTGTTTAGTACACCCTCTTTTTGAGGGAATTCTCTCAAAAATTCTCTTTTTGTGCCACCACTAGCTCCATTTCCTTCTCTGATAATGGACATCAAAACATCTGATACCATAAATAAGATGGAGTCAGATGGTTTCGTTTGGTTTGTTTTCCTTAGGGAGCCTGGGAAATTTGCCAGTTGTCTCTAGCATCTCCTGTCCCTACAGTGATATTCTCATTGGGATGGAAGGTCCACCCTGAACTTGACAACACAACATCTTAGCCTGGAAGAGTATGCTTTTATTTATCATCTAGCTTCTGTTTTTCTCTGTCCCACCCAGCCTGACAGTTGGGCTGGGCTGGGCTGGGCTGGGCCAGAGCACAGAGTGAGTGTGTCAGTGAGATGTGATTCCTGGCAAGATGTTTTGTCTTCCTCTCTGGAGCTACCATGAGTCTGTGGGGACAACTGATCTAGAGTAGTGCTTCCCAGACAAGAACGCTCACTGTGATTCTTAATCTCACCCAGATGGCAGACCTTTGGATCAAAGCAAGATGTAGGACTCTATTAATATTATAAAATGCTTTTTTCCCACTGCAGTGCTCCATCCACTGTGCTTCCTGGTGCTTGGAGAATTGAATCCTATTAATAAAAGTTTATTGCCTTGTTAAAAATTATTTCCAAAGCATAATTAAATGACATGCATCATATAGTCATGGGAGACCAGAAAACTGCATTAAAAGCATTATGTACTAGTACAGTTGATTATTTTGAATCTAAGGTTCTGTGGTGAATGAAAACCACCAAGTATCTGTCATAGAGTACTAGTTTTAATCCAGCCACTAAAAACCATGGGAAATAGTTATGTGTGTTGTCCTAGAAAGATATCACTGGTGTGTTATTTGGGGGAAAAAAAAAGTGTCAGATTTCAATGTTCAGAATAATTCTACTTCTGTAAAATAAATATAGAGATGTTTCTATCTAGGTGTACCTGAGTGAGTGTGAGACAGGCAGAGACAGAAAGAGAGAGAGAGGTTGATTATGAATAAAATTGCACCAAACCATTAACAACAGTTATATGGGGGGCAGTTGGGAGTGGTCCTGGCGAGACTGGATAACCCGTTGGATTGGGGTCGAGAGAGACATCACTCTTACTAACTTCTAAAATATGTTTTAAACTTCAGTTTTCCCTTTGCTAGATGTTGACACTTCTTGAACGTAGGAGTATCCATGATAGCCTTTGGCTGACATGATAGCCTTAGACCAGCACATTCTCAAGTCACTGAGAACATTCTGACATTAGTCTAGGAGTTCCCTCTGAGGGCTGAGCAAGGCAGAGAGCACAGACATCTTTTTGGCCAACGTGTCCCCTCTGCTTTCTCACAGGATGACCTGGATTCACCCTGGGTGGGAGCCCTTACCTTCTCCCAGGGTCAGCACACTCTTCCTCCCCTCTGACCCTCCCATCCATCTTCCTTGGTCCCACCCCAGGTCATGACCTTCCGCCTGACCCACTGCAGC